TCTTAAATCATTTTTGACTACTGCAATAGCCTTTAATGTTTCAACTCCTGGCACGGATTGTCGACGGTTCAGGATTGATTTAATGGAATTCTCTGTCTTTTCAAAACCTGGCATTTTATGCTTTTGTGGCTTTCCAGCCAAATATTTTTCGATATCCATTTCGATGGAAAGAATTTGTGTCTAGAAAGTCTGAAATGGCTGGTAAGCCACAAAAGCATAGAATGCCAGGTTTTGAAAAGACAGAGAATTCCATTAAATCAATCCTGAACCGTCGACAATCCGTGCCAGGAGTTGAAACATTAAAGGCTATTGCAGTAGTCAAAAATGATTTAAGAGCTTAATTATGTTTGTTACTCCTTTAAACATATACATGTAGTCCATGAAATGTGATATTGAATAAAAAAATACGTTTTAATTCCATACATTTAAAAAAATTTGTTCTATTAATCTTTTTTTGCAGATTTATTATTGAAGAGAACACGTGATGAAATTAACGACATTTCAGAATTTGAAATTTATAAAAAAGTCGAAAAAATAATTTTTCGTAAAAATGATATGGTCGTAAAAATGTGAAATCGTAAAAATGAAGTTTCGAAATTTTAAAATTCGTTATTTTAATAGGCACTCCAAAATTTCCCTTAATTTAACTGATCAAGTTTTCATAAGAACACATTTTAACCTAGTTTCTGAATCCTATCGATGTTACCTCTGTTGTAAGATATTTGACTTGATTTGACTTCATTAGTAAGTAGCTCATCCAGCCAAACAATCCACAATCACTCAAACTACAACTTTCTATAAAATCAAGCTCACAAATTCATTCTCCACTGCACTCATAAAAATATTTTTAATAATTTGTTACTAAAATCTTATTATAAAGTTTTTAATGAGAATTATTAAAATTTTAGTAAACCTTATCAAACTTTTAATAAAACTTATCAAATTTTAATAAAAGTTTTTAAAATTCTACAGCGTTGTAAAACTGTTGTAGGTTTCCAAAATTGTAAGGTTTTCATATATTTTATATACTTCACAAATGCTCCAAGAAATGACTTATACAAAAGAATGTCTTAGTTCTCATACAAAGTCATATAAAATTATAAATTTCTTATGAGGCACATTAAGTGCCAAAAATCATGCAAAGTCTTAAGCTTTGAGAAAGCATTTTAGTTAAGACTTGAAAAAGCTCCATACTATAAATTAATAATACTATAAAGCTGTTTTTGTAAAAAAAATAATCCAAGAAATTTTAATGACTTTTTACTAAAATCCATGAACAAATTTAATAAAAATTATAAAAATACATCTTAATAACTTTTTACTAAAGTTTAGTAAGAAAATTATTAAAATTTTAACAGTTTTGTAAAATTTGAATGTAATTTTGTAAAACCACAACTTTTAATAACCCTTATCAAATTTTAGTAAAAGTTATCAAGATGTATTTTTATAAACTTTTATTAAACTTTTTCATACATTTTTAATAAAATTTATCAATTTTTTTTTATGAGTGTGCTCATTTCAACTTTATTCAACTTTATTCATTCTAGAGTGGTGTAAAAAAAACTATGGGAAAAAATCAGCACAAGAAAAATACCTACTTAAAAAATACAAAAAGAAAAGGTACGAGGATTGAAAGAACTTCTTGATTTAATTGGAAAAAAATTCCCATTTGGAAAGACTTTGTCGGAATTTCTTCTCTTATCATGTTTAAAATTATTTGTTTATTGCCTTATTGAGGAGATTATGATTAAGTTGAAGATGGAAAGGAAAATGCAATTACAGTTTATAATGAGAATTTTATAGATGAGAACATATAAAATGATTGCAGTGCTTCTTTTGGTTTTGGAAGATGGAATTATATTAAAGAATGAGAGTGTTGCTGGTGCCAAAGAACAGGAATTGAGAAGCCACAGAGTCTCAGCACTGTCTAGTCCCACAAGCCTCTGTATCATCTAGTATCTCCTCTATTTAAACGCTCATCTATAGCTGTACAGAGATTGACTATTCATTATTAACTTAAATCCATCAACTTCCTATGAAAGAATCCATTCAAATGCTTCCAGAAAATGCAAATCAAATGTTCCCTTACATTTCAATTAACGATAAAAGTTCATCCATCGACTCAATCAATTTTTGCTGAATAAAAACTAATTAATTTTCAGTTCGATCCTCAATTTTAATCAAACAATAGCGAGAGAATGAACAAAAAAATATCATACAAAGGAAAGGATGCAATAAAGTTGCAAATGTAGAGACAATAAAAATTTAATTGATGTCATCGCGCTTCCCTCGAGCTTATTGTCTGCTTTTATGCAAAATACCTTTTGAAAGGATATTTAAATAATTAAAAAATGATGTCAAGGGGTGAGCAGTGTTGGGAATTTGATTTATAGTAGTTGGAATAAATTTTTTAAAGGTATTCCAAGGTCTTTAAGCATCTGCAATTAAAGATCTGAATAGCAATCAGTTCTACTCCTGAAATTCATACCTTAACCATATGCGGATCATCACGGATAATCGACTTCATTAATGCATGAAAAGAAGTAAATGAATAGCAATAATTGGATGAATTCTTTCCTTTTCATCAACATGCACATTCAGCATATTTCATTAATTAATTTTAACTCAATTCAGGACTCTTATTTTTGTTAATTCGTCTTTATTTTTTAATGCAGTTTTTCATATAATTTAACAATTTTTTGTTATTATTAATTTTTCGTATATTCACAATAATAATAATAATAATAATTTCAATAATAACTGTTTTTTTTTTATTTTAAATACAATTTTTTATTTATTTTATGCTTTATGCTTAATTCGGGATATGTACTCAATTTTTTTACTGACCATTTTCATATTAATGTGAGTTATTGACAACAACTGTGAAATGCAGTTTTTATTCACAATAAATTTTCATTCATGTTTTCTGTTTTTTTTTTCGTATAAAATATTGACTATTTTTTTATTACTTTTTATGAGAGCTAGGGGGTGGTTGCTGTTTGATTATGACGAGGATTTGTGGAACAAATGTTTTTTAAAATAAAAAAAATTCAAAATTTCAACAATGAAAAGATTTTATAAAGTAAATAAAAATGTTTAAAATCTGTTAAAAACTGGAAAAAAAATTAAGATTTATAATTAATATTTTATCAAAGTCGTTAAAAATGTTTAAAATCTGGAAAAAAATTTGATTTGAAATTTATGATTTGTAAAATATTTTAAAAGATAAAGAAAAATTTGAGAACTTTCAAAAGATTTTATTTTACATGAAAAAACCTTTTTATATTTTCTTTTAAAAATCAAAATTCAAATTTTAAAATTAATTTAATCCTACAAGCACCATAATCAAAGAGTTGAAACCCCTCAATATGAATGAGAAAGAAGAGAGAAAGAGATGTAGTTTGCATATATTTACAGTTTATTTTTTATGTTATTTGTTGCATAAGTTGTATGTACTTATTTTGAATGAACCTTTTTTATTCTACATTTTTATTACTTTTTATTTTAATTTTACTCTTGTTTTTTTTGTGTCATTTGTCAAGCAGCAACTCGAAATTTTATTTTATCATTTTCATTGTTTTTTTTAATTCTTATGTGAATGGAAAATTTTTCTATCTATGATGGAAATAAATTTGATAAATTTGGGGGTGAGGGGGATTCTACAGATTAAGAATTGAATTGAATTAATTTTTTCTTGATATTATGAAAAACTTTAGATGCAAATTTCTAAAAGAATATTTTTAAAAAAATTGCTTATTTTTAAAAAAAGGAACAAAAATTAAAAAAAGCGACATAAATTTTACTTCCACTCTCCATTTTTTTAAACCATAAGTTGTAAGAAACTTATTTATTTGCTAGCAAAACGAAAACTTTTTTTATTTTACTATTTTTGCATGAGAAAATCTTTCACGAAGTTTTCCATTATAATTTTCCATTAACGAACTATTATGCATTTAAAGTAGTTTCTACCTTTCTTGTTCTTTTCTTTTCTTTTTGCATTTCTTCTAGTTTTGTAAATTTTTTGAAGGGATTTTGTTTCTGTTGATACGATTTAAGAATTATTTTACATTTTTTATATATTTGCAATTTTCATGTGCGTGTTTATGAAGTGCTGAAACTATAAGGAATACATTTTTCGATGTTTTCTGAAGTTCTGGATTTTTAAGCTCAAGGGTAGCGATGATGGATTTGAGAAAATTTTTTCAAGTACTTTAGAATTTTTTTTAAACTTTTAAAGTTCATCAAAAGTTTTCTGATTTGCTTAGGAATTTTTTAGAATTTACTTAGAGAATTTGTGGCATAGTCGGGACAGCTAGGAGAATGATTCTCAAAGGACAAAGAATATAAACACTAATTGGACCTTTACATTGAGAAATGTATCTTCTTTAAAACTAAGTGTGGAAGGGATTTAAATTTTTTTAAAATTAGTTCCAATTGAATTTTGCATCTTAAATAATTCAAAATTGAAGATTCAACAAGTCAATATCTACAAATTATTGAAAGAACCCAAAAAAATTCTACTAGAATCCAAAAAAATCAACCAACATCCTTTAAACCATTGTTCAAGAATTTAGTCCTTCAATAGTAGTCATATTTTCTGAAGCATCAAAACTTTCTCTCTTTAAATTTAAACCTCAAATCTCTAATTACTCAGGCCATAAACACATAACCTCAAAAACAGCATTTAATTTCATTTTCAACTACTTTTTTATCTCTCAATTTTAAAAACATTTTCCCAAAAAATAATATTTTTTCCACCTCATTAATGACATCATCCTGGATGACTTCATTTCATTTTCACACTAAAAATTAATTAAATAATTAAATTCAATATGTCTGTATTTACATTACACAACAAATTTAACAGGAATTGATCTTTGATTATTTGGAAAATTCAGAATTTTCCACAATAAATTTTTACTCATTCGGCAAATTTCATACGAAATTGTAAATAAACCTCATTAAAATGTAACTGAATTTTTTTATTATTCTAGCAGGATATGAGGATTTATATTGCATTACATCGCGTAGTCACTTACCATGAGTTATAATAATTATTATTTATTATTACTATTAATGATTGGCATTATTTACATAAAATCGAATAAATTGATATTGTATGGGTTTGGTGGGGGAGAGAGGGCTTGGGCTGATTGCCATGACTCTTAACAGCCGCTGCTCGATGGTTTTAATATTGACTCTGCTGTGTGCTTATTCGCTCTCGTTCTGGAAGATTTAATTGATGTGAAAATTTAATCATAAATTTCAATGCTGTTTCCATGTGTTTGCTGTGGAATGAAGGAGAAAAATATTATTTACAGAAGGAACTAGGGACGGAGCTACACATTTTTCTTTAAAGTCTAGAATAACCACTTATCAAGTTACGTAACTTCTAACCAATCCTTAAAAACAAACAAAAATACAAACCTTTATAATGCACTTCCTTATACATTGTTGGGCAAGCCTTTCCTGGCTGTTTACTCCTGAAGTCAATATTTGTTCTCACTGGTCGATGCAATAATGGCTGTGGTGGTCGGAAATTATTTCCGAGCGGTGCCTTCGGATGATCTGGTGCACCTTGCATTAACCGCCTTAAGGCATGAAGCTGTAAAGTTGAAAACAAAATATGAAATTTAAAAGCATACAGGCAACGAAGTTGATCAAGTAAACATTCAATAAACCACTAATTTCTGACCATATTCACGCGAGATTCATCATCAACAACTTTATATGCTTTCACTTATTAATTATTTCATGAATCGTTGATTATTGATACATAATAAATCGATTTTATGAGATGGAAATAAATTTTAATTAATTTTTTTTTTTCATTGGCACTGCTTTATTTAAGTTTAATGTGCAATCAATGAATTATTGAAATAATTTTGTTCACGTTTAATTAGTTTTTACACAGTCAATGAGAATTGAAATGGCTCAAGCTTCAATTTATGTTAATTTAATGAGCACAAAATGATCGTGAAAAATTTCTGTCATGAATGAGACAATAAGCTTTTACTGATAATTGATTGACTGATTTATTTTTAATGATTTGCTTATTTGAGATTAACTGTTGGGATTATCAGTTCCAATTGAAACTGGTGGTTTTGGAGATTTAATAATCATCGAGTTTCAAGCTTTTTAATCAGATTCACGAAAAGTCATTAAAAATGAATATTCATTTGCATTTCTAAATAATTCATAAACCTCTGAACCAGAAAAACAACATCCAGCATCAGATTACAAAGTCATTGACTTTCCATAGCTCAATTCAAATTGTAAGCATGACAATTGTCCATAAAAAATATATTCATCCTAAAATTTCAATTGATAATTTTTATATTTTTTTTTTGTTCCTCATATTCAATTTAAAAATCCACTCGTCACAAGTGGAAAGGTAAACATTAACCCCAAACAAAAATACAAAGCGACATGAGCACACACGAAAAAAAATATTTCCCATTTTTCAATTTAACTGACTTTTATCGTCGTCGATGCAAATAATGAAATTAATTTTTCGATGTCAAATTTGCATTGCACTTGCATGCTGTTGCATGTAAAAATTGAAACAATAAAAACTTTTTTTTTGTAGCTTTATCGCCATACAGTGTAGTGCAAATAAAACGACATGATGAGGATGCGGGGGTGCAGCAGACAAAATAGAGAAAGAGACAATGAGTAAATACAGTAAATTTTGGTCGTTAAAATCCTATCATTTCCCACATTATTTGTATTTCAATTGATTTTTCTTTTTTGCTCGCGCATCGCAATTGAATTTTATGAAAATTGCTGCTATGAACGTTGCCACAATTTTCCTATTACTGATGCAGTTTAAATTGTATACAATTCATTTGTTAAACTGAAACTTTTACGGCTGTGCTTTAAATTTGAATTTTAATTTTAAATGATTTTATGGCTTGATTGCTTGACTATTTCAGAGGATTAAATTAGACAGTAAATTAGAAGATTAAATGAAATTTGCAAAGACTAGGAAGTCTGTCTTTCTTAAACTTATAATTGAAGACCATGTTGTGAATGGCTTTCTAGATAGGTGCACTTTGATTGTTTGACTTAAACTAATCCCCTTTCAATTTTAAGCATCTATGTCTATTCATATTCCCCTTAAAAAGATAATCACAATTCCACTATTGATGCTGATGATGATGACATGACACAAGGTTCAAGAATGTCATATATAAAGTCACATTAAATAGCACATTATAGTCCTCATAATGTTCTATTTGACCTCTGTCATTGCATGTCAATTTGTCTCAAAGCAACTCAAACTTTTGTGATGAAAACATTCCAAAAAGGACGATGGAAAAAAAAGTTCATTTGACAAATTTCTTTCTATAGAAAATGATGTGATGAAAAATCCTCACATAAAATACATAAAAGCAGAACAGGAAAGCTGCATACAATGGAGCGAAAAAAAGGGGGTGAAAAAAAATCTTGATAATAGAGAAAAGCTAGCAAGTAAGCAGTAAAAGGCTATTAATCAAGTTCAAAATGTTGTAACATCGACCATTAATCAAACTAATTAGAAAATTATAGCCTCATGTCCAGTTTCTCCATCTCCCCCTCAAGCTACTCCTTTCATCTATTTGTCCTGTCTGGTATCTCAATAATTTCTCGTTTGTGTTCATTAGCAGTTATAAGGAACGGTCACAATTTGAAAATTTTTCATTAAATGTTGATGAAAATAGAGCGATCGAATTGCAGTTAATTATTATTTTGTAGAGGATGGGAAATAATGATAATTAGAGGAATTTTGACAATTTCGGTGCGATGGGTTTGGTTGATGGAAATGTGCAATAAAAAGGATTTCCAACTTTAAGCAGGGGTTGGGAGGTTTTGAGCTGTTTGGCAATTGACATTTTGCAGTAGAAAAGAAGTGGAAGGGGTCTAAAGAACTAGCCAATACTAAGATTCAATAAACCTCGTCCAAAAGGATCTGAACCACCAGTTATGGATATCAAATAGAGTTTCAAGTCAAAAAAATGAACTTTTTCACAGCTTCAATTAAGTTTGTAAAACATGTCATGTTCCCGATAAAAAAATCCAATTTAAATTCTCTTCACAACCAAAAAAAAATAAATCTCAATTTTTAATTCCTCCTTCATCAGCTCATGCTAGTCTCTCATTTAATTCTTAATTTTTATATCAAATGATAACCATCATCATGTGTCGTTAAAAATTAAATTCTTCCTTTAGTCGGAAGTTGAATTATTCATGCAACAATATTTGTGCCATGTCATGCTAGACTATAATTTTCTCGTCTTTCCTTATGCTTTTTCACACTCACCTGTTGTTTCGTTATGTAAATTGGTTTATTTAAAACTATCCACGTAACTGTCTCATGACATGATGGTGACGTTGTAGATCCCTCATAAGTCATATAATGTTCCGTGTCGGGAAGTAGGCCACGAACGGATAAACGCTTTACAGGCGTCTCATCACCACCAAATCGAATTTTATCTAATTGATCGGTTAGCATGCGAAGCTCTGGGTTTGAAAGGTCACCGAGCTGGAAATAAAAAAATTAATTCAATTTAATAAAATGCTTGCAACATTGAATGTTGGGAACAGGAGAGGCAGGATGTGTATTTACCTGTAACAGCACGGAAACTGCTACTATACCCTGTGCTCGATAAACAGCATCAGAATAATTTGTATAAAGTTGAGAATTATAGCCGAAAATTTGTATCTGGAAGAAATTGAGAGGAAAACTGTTATTTTGTTGACCAACTCTTCGAGGAAGTGGACTTAATTTATTGACAAAATTTGAATCCTAGTTTCAAGCACAGCCCCCTTACCATCGTCATCATAATCAGCATAATTAAATTTATTATTTTGATTTCCTAATTTCATACTTCAACAGCATTTCCTTTACGTATTTTTTGCAAAAAGGTGGCAAAATAAACAAGAAAATGCTCTTTGAAGGAAGTTGAAGCAAAAAGATTTTTTTTTTCCAGCACTGAAGCAAACAGAGACGGTTCATTAAACTCAAAAAAGAAAGTTGAGACACTTTAACGCTCTTCTTGATTCTTCCTTCTTTCTTTAACTTTCTTATATTTTCATAGGAAAGCAATCAGTGGAAGTAGATGCTTATGTAGAAAAATAATCTTGTTGGATTCTCGTTAGTTTTTTGAGAATAGTCAAGAAAAGTCTCCATGAAGAAAGTTGAAACTACGACTTGTTGATAAAAATATTTGTAGTTTATAAGGAAAATGTTTGGTTTTGAAATAGCTGACTAAGGACGAAGCGCAGATTGTCTTTGCTATTGAATTTAAGGTTTTCTAGGGTTTACCAACTTCCAGGAGCTAAATATCAAAGACTTTGATGTGCTTATGACATAAACTCATCACCGTTAATCTTTCATCCCTTCTCATGGTCATTTGCCTTACTAGACACCATTCAAATTAAAAATCAGCCTTGAGAACATTTTAAAAATCAATTTAAAAACTACAACAATATCTCCTCACGATAATCATCAGACAAATAGTCAACAGACAACATTCATCTTATCCCTAAAGCTAAAAAACTTATAAAAACATGACTAACAACTTTTCATAAGATTTATTGCAAAAAATTTGTAGTCATGAATATTTTTTTCATCTCTTTTCTTTTGGAATATTTGCAAATCATCATTTGGATTTATGAAGACTTTTTTGTGTGCTTTATGCAATGGAAATAAAATAAATGGCTTTATGATTTTTTTTTTTGAAAAAATAAAATAAAATTGAAAAATGTTTTATAGGATGGAAATCTTTTACAAAGATGAATGGATGGATGTTTTTAGATTAAATATAGATGTTTGGACTCTAAATGTTTGTGGTTATTTGTAAAATTGAGAAGCTTTGAAGAAGAACTGCAGAGTTTGGATTAAAATTTTAATTTTTTTTGTCAATTGATTTTATTTCAGTTAAGAATTCAGGCTAGAAACTTCCATTTGTTGCCATTGACATTACATTGGGCTATGTCCCATTAAAGGCTCTGAACCTACATCCTCACGAAGTAATGTTACAAATCCACAAAAACCTTTGAATCGCAATGACAAATTTGCCTATTTCGATATCTCAGATTCCATTCTTTTCCGATGCCAAACTCAAACTATAACAAAACTTTAATTGAAAATAAGTAAGTACCGGCAAAACCAATGTTGAATCTTTCAACAAACCATTTCCTATATATTCCACCCACACACTTTTGTCTACATTCTTTCCACAAACTATAAACTTCAACAAACAAAACTTTTCCTATGCACAAAAATCTCCAATAAATAAAATAAAAACAGAAAGTGAACATAAATAAGTTAACCCACCTCCACATTCCAATGACTGCTTGCAAAAACTCAAAAAAGATTCGAGTAATTGCTTTTAAGTTTACATGCAAAATAGCACAAAAGATATTTTTATCTCAAAAAGTAGTTTTCATAATTTTCAACCACCTACAACACATGGAACTAAATACCAACACAAAAATCTTCTTTTTCTAGCAGTTAAAGATCAAAAAAGATAAAAGCTTAGAATAAATATTGACTTTTGTAATTATTATTTGCTGAAATAAGCAATTTCCCTTTTTTGCGTCTGTGGAATAGAAACTCATACCCACAAAATTCAGTTCGGCAACATCGATTTTCATTCTGTGCAATTTTAAAAAAATACTTTTTTTTTGTTATGTTTGCAACAAAATATTCCTTTTAGAATCTCAGTCTCGACCCATGCTTAATGCCTTTAACTAAGCATTGAACTAACATAGTTCCTAGATAAACAGTAAATACCAATAAATCTTGTCTTTATGTTTTTTCATCCTGGCAAAAACTTTAAGTAAAGTTTTTTTTTTACTTTACTTTATTTACTTAAATAATCAACACTTTTGCTCTATCTGCTTGTCTACAACATTAAGCATTATAAGGTTTTGAGTTTGGTTTGGCTTTAGTTTGACTGCTTGTCTGAATGTTCAGTGAAAATTAGTTTAATTTTTATATTTTAAAAAGTCATCACTTATGTCTTATCACTCTTAATCTTATCACTCTTAAAAATCGTTGCTTAAAAGATTACATTCTGATAAGTCGTCGCTTTAATAATCAACCTTAAAATATACTCAATTTGAAGCGTGACCTTACAAAAAAGTCATCGTTTTAAATCTTATCACTCTTAAAAGTCGTTGCTTAAAATATTCCATTCTGAAAAGTCGTCTCTTTAATAATTAACCTTAAAATATACTCAATTTGAAGCGTGACCTTACAAAAAAGTCATCGCTTTAAATCTTATCACTCTTAAAAGTCGTTGCTTAAAATATTGCATTCTGAAAAGTCGTCTCTTTAATAATTAACCTTAAAATATACTCAATTTGAAGCGTGACCTTACAAAAAAGTCATCGCTTTAAATCTTATCACTCTTAAAAGTCGTTGCTTAAAATATTCCATTCTGAAAAGTCGTCTCTTTAATAATTAACCTTAAAATATACTCAATTTGAAGCGTGACCTTACAAAAAAGTCATCGCTTTAAATCTTATCACTCTTAAAAGTCGTTGCTTAAAATATTCCATTCTGAAAAGTCGTCTCTTTAATAATTAACCTTAAAATATACTCAATTTGAAGCGTGACCTTACAAAAAAGTCATCGCTTTAAATCTTATCACTCTTAAAAGTCGTTGCTTAAAAGATGCATTCTGAAAAATCGTCGCTTTAATAATAAACCTTAAAATATACTCAATTTGAAGCGTGACCTTACAAAAAAGTCATCGCTTTAAATCTTATCACTCTTAAAAGTCGTTGCTTAAAAGATTGCATTCTGAAAAGTCGTCGCTATAATAATAAACCTTAAAATATACTCAATTTGAAGCGTGACCTTACAAAAAAGTCATCGCTTTAAATCTTATCACTCTTAAAAGTCGTTGCTTTAAAGATTGCATTCTGAAAAGTCGTCGCTATAATAATTAACCTTAAAATATACTCAATTTGAAGCGTGACCTTACAAAAAAGTTATTGCTTTAAATCTTATCACTCTTAAAAGTCGTTGCTTAAAAGATTGCATTCTGAAAAGTCGTCGCTATAATAGTTAACATTAAAATATACTCAATTTGAAGCGTGACCTTACAAAAAAGTCATCGCTTTAAATCTTATCACTCTTAAAAGTCGTTGCTTAAAAGATGCATTCTGAAAAATCGTCGTTTTAATAATAAACCTTAAAATATACTCAATTTGAAGCGTGACCTTACAAAAAAGTCATCGTTTTAAATCTTATCACTCTTAAAAGTCGTCGCTTTAATAATAAACCTTAAAATATACTCAATTTGAAGCGTGACCTTACAAAAAAAGTCATCGATTTAAAGAACGACATCAAAAAAGTCGTCACTTTAAGGCATCGCTTTAAAACTTAACCAAAGAATGACAAAACAACAGAAGAACATCAAAATCCTCTTCTTAATCCACAACAACTTGCATTACTTGCTTACTTGCTGTTCATTACTGTTTATTCATTTTCCTAAAAGTAATTTTTTAAAGCCATTTCATGACCCTTTCGTTCTCCTTGTTTTTCTACGTCCAACACTCTTTTTGGTAATGAAAATATTTTCCTTTACTTCTCTTTCTTTTGCTCCTTCAAACTGCAGTAAATGAGAATGGTTTTACGATTATCTCGATGTCGTGATGCAATGCAATATTTCAATGAGGTTAAATAAACCGAAGAAAGGCAAAACTTTATTGATTTTGTTGTGGTGTTTGATAGACTTTAAGTTGAATGTTCTCTTAATTTTCTCTTAATCAAGGTTAAATTGTTTGATATCAATATTTGATGAAGCTGAAATCCCCTTCTGCTAATGAGATTCAGGAAAATTTATTTGGAGCAAGTTCGTATGTTGCTGTGCTGTTTGAGAATGCTAAAGATTAAGTACGGTATTTGAACTTCTAATTTGGAACATGTCATGAATTTTGAATCAGTTGATGAATTATCGATTAAAGTTATTTAAAGAGTAAATTAATTTGATTGCGGCAGGTAAATAATCTGAATCAGGTTAAAGTTTAGATTAATTGGGTTGAATCAAGCGATGATTCATTGAATTGAGGGGAAAAGTGATGCCTTTGAAGCTTTAAATTGTTGTTAATTGGAATCTAATAGCTTCAAGTCGTCGATTTAAAGATAAGGCTTGAAAATAAAGCGTCGCTTTGAAATTGAAGCTTTAAAAATCGGCACTTTAAAATTGAGGCTTTAAAAATTGTCGCTTTAAAGTTTGGACAAAAAAAGTTGTCGCTTAAAAGCTTAGCTTTGAAAAAGTTTCCTTTTGAAAGTCAGTTATTAAAAGCAGAGCTTTAAAAAGGTCGAAACTACAAAGCTTAAGTTTAAAAAGTCGTCGCTTAACCAAAGCATAATCAACAAATTGTGAATCTTCATGAACTTTACCGCATTATGTCACAAAAGAATTTGTAAGAAAATAAAAAGATCGCATTAGAAAATAAGGAACCTTTTATTCTACGTCCACTAATAAATTCCTATCTTCTTTACAGAAAAATGAACTGAATAAAAGAAAGCGAAATATGAAAATAGTTATGAAATAACAATGTGAATAATGAAATGAATAAGCACTAAGAAAATGATAGCAAGTAAAATGGCACACAAACAATAAGCGTGAATTTCGCTTCTTCTCGTTTACAATGTAAGAAGATAGGGATAATAATAGTAATAGCAACAATATTGTTTGCTACTTTGCTGCTTCTGCTTATGCTTTTCGAGCATTTAATAAATTTTCACACAACTATAAATACCATTTTATTTATTTATCTTCCTTACTTTTTATTCTTCTTCTTTTTCTTTGTGTTTTGGTTTATAGTTTTAGGTGTCAAGGGATGGAATTAGGAAGAATTTCGGATGTAAGATGAAGTTTAAAGCCTCTTTATATAATATCTTATAGTTTATACCTTACATTGAGAGGCTATTGCCTACCACACTGTTGATAAAACTTTTGTTGCATACTCAAGCTTAGTCTTAATCATTTTGAGGACTCAGACCTTCCTTTGGTGCTTATTAAGTTCACAAAATAACCAAACTCTTATTAATTCTGTTGGAACACGGGTTAAAACGTGGTAAAAAGGTCGGGGGTCAATAATATGCCTTAGTTTTTAATTTTCTAAGAGATGGGCACACATTGAAACTTCCGACAAATGCCAAGTGGTTGCCACGTTGCTACCATTGCCAATTTTCTGCCACTTGGTTCTAATTATACTATCAACCTGGTTGCCGGCTTGCAAAAATTTCAATGAATTTCAATGTGTGTCGATCGGGTGTGCTTCAATCAGATATCTTCTAAACTCTTTAATTTCAGAACTATATCAGCTAGTGTTTGAAATCATCTAATGGACTTAAAACAAGTCGCCAACCCATAACAACTCCTTCCTTAAATTCCAAAAAACAAAAAGTAAAGTTTCACTGTTTTCATTTACTTATTATTATGATCATGACGATATATTGCTTCCTTTCAACTATTACTTACAAATAAGAAAAGCAACTGGACATTTTGAACTCATATTCTTGGTTGAAGGAATGAGAAAGTCTCGGAAAGGAAGCAAATAGTCTTAAATGAGGAAAAGGAGTGAGAAAATGAGGAAGAAGTGGAAAGAAAAATGAAAATTTATGCTTTTCTCTTTACTATTTGTTCGTACACAATATTTTCACAACTCCCATGGTGCTTTTAGTCATAACTACAGCTTATATTCACGACAAAATTATTAACTTTAAGTAAACAGATTCTTTTTTCTTTGCAGTTTTTTCGAAGCTTAAAGTTCTTTAGAGAATTTTCCTCTTGTTTATTTTTAATGTGCATGTTTTTATGGATGTAAAGGAAAAAGTTTTTATTTTGCTAAGCTCATCCTTATTAAAAATATTTTCATTTGATTAAAATTGAAATTTTATTACAGGAAGGGATGAATAAAGAATTTTTATTGAGCAATTTAGTAAAAATTTGTAAAAGATTATTGGAATTTTTTAAAAGGAAAAGTTTTGGAGAGGATTTAAAGTTTTGTAATTTATTGAATGAATTGCATTTCAAGTTGATGAGATTTATTTATATCAAGCACATATTTAAGGATGAATAAGTTGGGATGTTGAGGCTTCAAATTGTTTACTTAAGTTTTTGAAAGAATTATTAATTTAAATAAGTTTAAATTTACATTAAAAACAATGTAGCTTACACATTAATCCTTCAAACTTTCATTTGATCGACAAGCCTGATTGAAAATAATATGAAAGCATGATAATTATAGTTGTTGAGCACAAATTAGAGCCTGTTGTAATAAAGTCTAATTTCCACCAAAAAATCCAACAAATATTCAATACTCAGCGCTAATTAAATCCCCACAGTCGCATCAGATGACGATGACGAATTTTAAATTCAACAAAAAAAAAAGTTCTCTCACCTCAGCTGGAAATGTATAACCCTCCACACTATGCTCACTGCCAAATTGATCATGTAGTCCATAATGTATGTGAATTTCATGAAATCGATAACGATACGAAAGTGGACCGCCGGTCAAATTGACAGGTATCTGATTGCTAATTTGCATGTTGTTTAGACTACTACTGCTCATACTACTGATGCTCCCATATGAATTATATATTGTATCATTGTCAACTGTAAATATTATACTATGTCCTGTATTTGCTATTGTTCCACTAATCTGAAAATATTTTCAAAAAAAAAATTGAATAGGATACAAATTGAGGTAAATGTGAAATATTTTGATGTGGACATGATGTCAAGGGAAGAGGACTTCGATATGCTTCTTTTCTTTTTGATTCAAATCCTCAAAAGATTAAACAAAATAAAATAATAAAATAAAATTTTCAAAATCACAAGTGCTCATCCCTTGAATCAATTATATGCAATGTCAACAAACTGCAACATATCTGCTGTTGAATCTGCATTCATTTCCATTCACAGCATATGTAGCAATGTGCAATTAACATTTTGTTCATGTCATTTTTATTAAAACACTTACTCTATGCTTATCAATATGCAAAGGCCTCAAATTAGGATCAAACAGTAATCGTTGAGGCTCTAAATTTACAGGTGATTGTCGACGACCTTTATTGCACAATGACCATTCTGGATTGATTAAGCCCCAAAATGCTGGACCTGAAAAGAGCAAAAAATTTCATTTTATTATGTCTGACTTAATTTAGATTGACGTTAATTGAAAATATGCTAGATTATGTTTTTGGATGTCTACTAGACACATTATAGATCGACATAAAGGATTGATTTTCAGATAGATGGATGGAATTTATATGAGACTAATTTGTTTATTGTGTTTATTGCTGCTGGTAAATTTTGATTGAAATAATTAAAGGTTTAAAGAGAATTTGAGGAAGTGAAAGTTTTGCTTCATGCGTCTCCGCAAGCACCAATTTGCACACCAAGCAATACTAAGAACCACATTCATCTTTTCTTAGAATTTTCTTCGTACACAACTCCCGAAATAAATCACTAAGAGACATCCCATCAAAAAAAAATCCTCATCACAAACAATAGCCAGCACCAGATGATGATTCACCTTAATAGCACGCACGAAAAAATTTCATGTTCAACGTAAATTAAAGCTCATCCATTCATTCATTCAAAGCACAGCAATTACTTTTTTCCGGTGCTGAATGAATGAGTGAAATGGCTCAAAAAGGGTAGTCATGAATGTCATGTCTATTAGACACTTAATTCTAACGCAATTACAGAAGCCGCATGAATGAAAAATTTTTTTCTTCTTCTTCCTAATTTCATTCAATCCAACCGCTTGACGTCCTTCAAAGCAGATTTTCAATGGATAAAAATGATGATGGTGAGATAAAAAGTTTTCTTTTAAAGGAACTGCTAATCAACAGAAGATGCTGCAAAAATTTCATCTAAAGTAAGTGAAAAGATTAAAAAGAGCAGCAAAGGAATGTTTTTTTGTATCGCTGTTGAAGAATTTTTTTACGACTTTTGGCACTTAATACTCCTCAAAGTATTCCATTTCTTAAAGTTTTTTTCTGTTCTTTTGTCAATTTTCTTTTATTGCACATAATTTTTCATGTTTTACTTCGGTGCTTGTAATGATTTTGTGGGGATAATATAAAATTGTAGGAGGTATGGATAATATCTTGGTAGAGGTCCAAAATCATAGGTTCTATGTATCAATTTGAATTGAAATTTAAAAAAACAACATTCATTCAATACAGTTCTAGCTAAGGGGCCGTTCACTTACGACGTCCAGGGGGGGGGGGGGGGGGGGTCAGCAAGAAAAGAACAATAGAAATTCCTGGAAATCCAGTGTTCTTTTTTGAAAAATGACCGTTAATTTTGGACGTCATAAGTGAACGACTCCTAAAGTTAAAGACTTAGAAGCAAAGCTTAAAATGTTTCCTGCTGTGTTCCTATCAAGTTCAAGACAAGAGTTCATATAAGACCTTCTTGGATATTCTCTTGCTAAGAACATAACTCTATCTTACTAGTATATAGCCAACAAAGAAAAATTTCTGACAAAATCATCTCCAAGGACCCTCGACCTCCTTATAATTTCATGTACATCCAATTTCTCTCCCTTTTAAAGCACTTTTTTATGTTCTTTAACATTCCGTCTTTCATCTTCGATTTACTATCACGAAAAAAAAAATTCCAAACGAAGAAGTTAAAACGCAAACCACCTGACAATTTTTTATGGCTCCACCGAACGATGTTCATGAATTCCTTCAATTTCTTTTTTTGTCTTCGCAGGAATGATAGGAAAAAGTTTCTTTTTTTTTCTTAACACACATTTTCTTTATTTATTTATTTTTTGTGGATCTAGGTAGAAAGATAATTTCTTTTATGTTCTTTATAGACACAGCGATATTTTCTCATTCTACTCTTGAAATTCAACATTAAAGGAGATAAAACGAAATATTTTAGTTGATATTCTGAATGGCGTGTATTTTTTTTATGTTTGAACGTTTTGACATTCAAGATGTGATACAGTTTTTTATTAAGCTATTTCAGAGTAGTTGAAGGAATTTTTAAGATGATTTTTTAAAGGTAAATGTGAATGGTTTTTAGTGACTTGTTTGATGATTGGAAATTATGTCTTAATATAATTTATTTTAAGCTTTGTTTTAATTTTATTTGGCTGTAAAATGTGGTTTTTGTTCTTAAAAGATGAACTTTTATTTTGATGCATCACAGAAAATTAGTTCGGTTTAAATTAAGGTTAATTCAGTTTAAGTTCAAGCAATGGCAGTCTTTACATTCTCTTTTAATATTGAAATTTGTATTGGAATTAACTTCCAAACCCTTACAAAAAATTTAAAAAACTAAGAAAAAATTATTGGTACCGTCTTAGAGAAGTCAGAACTGTACCTCTATTAAAAGAATGACACAACTTTGAATTAAATAAAAATCGAGAAGAACAGGACATGAACGATAAGTCGGTTAATCGGTGTGAATTTGGCATGATATTGGATCTAAATTGATGCCAGCACCATACTAGAATCATGCCTGCTTGGTGCTGGATTTAAATTCAATTGTGCGACTTGTGCTATTCGAGACAATTCACAACGATAAATTAAAATCTGCATTGCAAAATGAGATACGACGCATCAATTTCCCTCTTAGTTCACCAATTCCAGAATAACATCTGATTGATATCAACACAAAGTGCATTGCTCTTAACATGCATCAGACAATGTGTTCTTAATCATTCTGTATCGATCAAGAAGAAAATCAATTCATGAAATTTTTGCTGATATTACGGTGCATGTGCATGTCAATGCATTTTTCAGATGTCTGAAGTTCTCCTTGATGAGCATTGATTTATCTCTCTTTAATGTTCTGAATAGATTAGTCTGCAGCTTATTATCATGATTTTTAATCATCAATTTGTCATGATTCTTCAATCTTAAAAAGTTCAAAGGGTATCTTTCTTTTTTTGGAACAGATGAATTTACTAATGCATGTATGCGTAATTTTACACAGCCTCAAAAAAGAAAGTCAATAAAGATTTTAATTATAAAACAATCCATAAATGTCCTCATATTTCACAAATATTGAAATTACAAAATTTTACATCATCTCTTCCAAACAGTTTACTTATGTCCATATAGACACATGAATAATTGCCAAATAATAATCGATCAATAAATCTCAACCTATGCCATGTCCCCAAAAAAATCACAAATAATCTCTTAGAACTGAAAAGGTTGAATGACACAAATTGCTTTTTCAGTTTTCAAATTGGATATCGCAATTGATACATGAACTGCATGGAGCATTCAATTGCAATTGAAAATGAAAAGAATGTAAAAAAAGAAAAATTGAGAGCATAAACAGAGATACAATGATGAACATCAGATTCCAATTCAAGCACTGATATATCGACATCAATCTCTCATTTGACATAATGGAAATCAGTAAAATAAACACATACTTTTCACTTTCATCAGTGAGTAAAATAGATCGAGACATGGACAATGATAGTGTTTAGTGGAAGGAGGTGAATCAATTTTTCTCGGATGTGGTTGGGAAGATATGAGGAAGTGTTTGTGGTAGAAGCGCCGTTTCTGGTTACTTCTAGATTGTGTGAGTAGCTAATGGCGAAATTGTAGCTTTTTATCCAAAATGTTTTAGCAATGAAGAAGCTATATAATCGCAAGTAAAGTATAAAGTGCCTTACAAGTTACACAATAGACATTTGGCTGCAAAAGACATGGATAGAATTACTCAACTGTATCATGACTGCAATTTGTGAGGTATTGCTTCTTAGTTCTGTTAAGTCTTGAACCTAATACCAGCTCAGTTTGTTCATCAGCTTTTTGGTCTCTGAGCTGTCTCAACTGAATAGATCAAAGCTGACCATTCTCATCCTAAACCATCTGATGTACCAAAATGATTAAATCCAAAAAGTTTCCTTAAAAACTATGCACAACTCACTACACAGTCTACCTATCTATTCATATTATCTCCTTTCTCTCTCTTTATTATGAATTGAATTGTCATTGTCATCTATAGCATGTTCATTTTCGCATATACAACATGTTGCCATTTGAATCTTTTATTTATTCAATTCATCGTCCTCGCATAATATAGATATACACAACATCTCCCAATATATAAATCAGCACCAATAGTAGTGGATAAATTGAGAGCATATTTTCTTCATTTTCCTATTTTTTTTGTCTTCCTTTCTTTCGATAAAAGCCAAATGAATCATTGTCAAATTGAGGTGAAGGAAGAAAGCGTTTGCGGTATGGAGTGAGAGTTTTGGTTCGAACCGGATGGCATGGATAGCAGAGAAAAAATGGAAAATAAAGGCGAGAGAAAATGTTGCAAACTTTACCCGCAAATTGAATGTCTTCATGTCTGTATCGGTTACAGATTGTCTCTTATACGAGCATACATAAATAATATCATGAATGATTGAAATGGAACTTATGAGAATAGAGAGTGAAATAAAAGAAATAAAATCAATCCTTTCAATTTGTGATGAATGAGATAAAAATACTTCCTTTGTTTATTTTAAAAAATCTTTTTATATTCAATGAATTTCTCTTTCTTTTGACATTGCTATTAAGGGATGTTGTGGAAGCTAAAATTGAATATACGAATTGATTTTTTTTTCATTTTTAATTGCACTTTATTGCATTTATTGACGACATACTGTCCGGAAACAATTCACATTTTACACTTTTGTATTTGTATACATATGAATTAGTATTATGTAGGATCAAACTTCTAATCTTCATATCTAGGTTTCAAATAAACTAAGGCTCTCGTTTCGATCTTTTGTGGGCGTGACGTGATACTTTTCAGGTCCGTTCTAACAATATTCCATTCGTGGGTAATCTTGTAGCTCTCGTTCCTATTTCTCCCGCTACACTTCAAGTTCCTGACCCGTTCCTTAATCCAAAAAAAAAAAAAAAAAAAAAAAAAACCTTTACCTATTCAGATCAATTGTGATCCAGAGGTGCGCTAGGGCGATTCGCAGCTAATGAGAGTTTAACGAGTGAGGATGCGCCAAACCACTGCACTCAAACCTAGACCTACAATTTATAGTGGGATCCGAACCACTCCTTTGATGACATTTCTGTCTGTAGCCTACAAAGGAAGGCTGTGAGCCTCATTTCCAGTACATA